ATCACCCCTGCCCAGACTGTTCCCGCCAATGAATGTACTAATCATGGCTCAGAGTTGTTCAATTTTCCTGCGCCTCAAGATGATTTGTTCTGATGTATGCAAAGCCCCCCACCCTCTCCAAAAAGTGTACTTAAGCTCTGCTTGACCTCTGCTCTGGGCTCTGGGCTGCTCTCCTTTCTTGAGTGGGCACGGAGCCCCAGCATGCTGGTTCAATAAAACTTCCCCCTGCAATTGCATGAAGCTGGTCTCTTGTGTGGTCTCTCCCTCCGATGCTCCGCCCGGACCCTTACATTATGTTTTTAGTAGGCACAGAGGCTGCAAGTTCAATCTCCAGTACTGGAAAAAAAATTGATTAACAATGCGACTACAAAAGAGTTGTTCAGTTTGATTCTGGAGGCTTAAAGATACAATTCTGCCCTTAAAATATAATCTTGGTAGTTTAGATTAAGAGCATAAAATTTGGAACCCAAATATCTGAATTTAAATCACATCTCTTTTTTTTGTTTTTTTTAAATGTATTTAGATGAATGCTTTTATTTTTATTTATTTATTTATTTTTTAATTGGTTATTCAAAACATTACAAAGCTCATGACATATCATCTTTCATACATTTGATTCACGTGGGTTATGAACTCCCATTTTTACCCCAAATACAAATTACAGAATCACATAGGTTACACATCCACGTTTTTACATAATGCCATATTAGTGACTGTTGTATTCTGCTACCTTTCCTATCCCCTACTATCCCCCTCCCTTCCCCTCCCATCTTCTCTCTCTTTTTTATTTTTATTAATTTCTTAAAAAAATAAATGACAGTGGAATGCATTACAATTACTTATATAGCACAATTTTTCATATCTCTAGTTGTATATAAGTTTGCTGACACCAATTTGTGTCTTCATACATGTACTTTGGATAATGATGTCTATCACATTCCATCATCCTTGGTAATCCCCTTCCCCCTCCCTTTCCCTCCCATCCCTCAGCTCTATCTAGAGTTCATCTATTCCTCCCATGCTCCCCCTAAATCGCATCTCAATAACTATCTGGCTTCCTTTAAGTTTCTTAATCCATTCGTGCCTCACTGTACTTTTCTAGAAAATGAAAGTTATAATAATAATATCTACCTCATAGAGTCAAATGATTTAGTATTTGTAAAGTTCTTAGAATACTGTCAGGCTCCACATAAACACTATATACTATAATTTTTGTTGTCATTGTTGCTTTTGTTTTATCTAAATCACTTATAACAATGTCCAGCATAAAGCAAACACGGTATAAATACTTATGGAGAGAACTGTCTGAAAGTATAAAGGCATGTAATTTCACGTTAGGTGGGCAGAATAAGGATGTTGTCTATGAGCATGAAAGGCAAACTAAAAAGCTCGAGAGAAAAATTAGATTTGGAACTGTTAGAATGATCTGGGACAGTTCTGTGTGCTAGGAGGAAAGGACTTAGAATAATGACATGAACAGAGTAAATTGACTCGGCATCAAGGAAGACTTCAGGAAAGTGGTACATTTGAGGTGAGATTTGAAGGAAGTGACCTGAAGAGACAGGAAAGAATCATAAATTCTCAGGGGTGATTATAACAATCTACTAGTTAAGCTCTCAGGCTTTCTTTTGCATGGTAGGATATCTGGATAGACTTAAGTCTCCTCAGGTAGAAAGCAACTTAACTTTGATTTTCTCTCTTTTTATTTATATATCATGTTTTAATCTTTTAAAACATGTGTGACTAATGCAGGAGTACTTTGTCTATAATTTTTAGGAAACATATTTAGTGATTTTAAATGTTTCCTAACATGTGCCTTACTTTATGACCTTCCTTCCTTCCTTCCTTCCTTTCTTTCTTTCTTTCTCTTTCTTTCTTTCTTTCTTTCTCTCTTTTTCTCTTTCTCTCTTTCTTCTTTCTTTCTTTCTTTTCCTTGCAAAGCTTGTAATCACTTGAGTACAATTTGGGAAGATGCACAGATTCTATATAAATCAAGAGTTTTTTAAAAAGGATCAGTCATCTGAATAGAAAAACCCTTATGTTTAATGGGAGATGGCAACTTCCAATTTCAAAAGTACTTATTGACATTGGATTCCATTTACATATCATAAAAACTTGAACCATTTTCTCTGAGTAGAAATGGACAGGCAGATTTGAGACCTTTTTTCCTAAAGCCCATAATGCCCTTACTTCTGCCAACTCAGCATTGTTATTTTGTTTTTTTTGTTGTTTTTTTTTTTAATTTTTTATTTTTTTTATTGGTTGTTCACAACATTACAAAGCTCTTGACATACCATATTTCATACATTAGATTGAAGTGGGTTATGAACTC